CCAGGGGCAAGCCCAGGTCCTCCCTTTAGCTCTCCAGGTAATACACAAAGCAGTACCCCAGCCTGGCCCTCAGTGAGGTCCTGAACCCTGGGGGCCCTGCAGCTCATGGGGAAGCTAAGAGGCCCTGGGGGCTGTTGTACCCTGAAATTCTGGATCAGAGAGCCTGAGAAAGGGCTGGACCACACTGAGCTGCTGGGATTTCCCAGTCTCTTCTCTCTGAGCCGTTTGCAGGTGAGCAGTGATGCTGAACCCATTTGATGGATAAGCAAATTGAGGCTCAGGAAGGCAGGGCCCTGGGTACAGGGAGCCCCACCAGTACTTCCTTTGTTTAGATATTCATTCAGCACACCTTCAGCCAGTGTCTGTGGTGGACTATGCAGTGGAGGCGGGGTCCTTTTCCCCACTTCAGCCCTGATGGGCTGTTCTCAATTTGCCCAGGCCATGCCTTTTGGGCCAGCTGAGGTGGAGCTGGTCAGATCTGGCCGACCAGTTATTGACCCCACACCTGAGGCACCTTGTCCCCATCCTGCTGCAGACTTGGGAGCACTGAGCCTGGGCAGCTGATTCATCTTCTCCCCTCTTCCCAGCACCAAGTGTCCCCACCCCCATCTGCTGCTGGTGTTGACTCAAGGGTGAGGATGTGACCAGTAGGAGAGGGGGCTGAGGGGCGCTTCAGGCCAGACCGCTGGCAGCCCCTCCTGCAAATTTAAGGACAGTGGAGGCAGCCCCCTGCCACAGGCTGTGGGGGAGCCAGCTGCCCTGAAGACTGGGTGACCTTGGGCAAATGTGTGACATTTCCCAGAGACACTGGCAGAGAGCAGGCCACTTGCTCTGCAGCTGGCAGGGCGGATGCAGATGGAAGTTGGGCCATGAGAAGCGTCCAGGTGTGTCCTACCCGTCTCTGGAGGAGTTCATCGCCCCCAGTGGGTTTGCAGGAGCCCGGGACCTTGTCACACCCCAGAGGCAAGGCAGTGGAATAGAGCCTAACAAAGAGCAGCAATTTGAGTCACTGTGACCAAGGAACACTGCTACAAGGCCAGAGGGGAACAGGGAATAGGACCTCCCCTCCTCACTGAGCTGCGGTGGCTCCCCATTGAGTCCGCACGCACAGCCGTCTGCAGTCTGGCCCCAGGCATCACCTCCTGTTCCTCAGTCACCCTCTTCTGCTCCTGGCTCATCTCCTCCATGTCCTCTAATTCTTCCCCTCCGTCACATGCCACTCCCCTGACCTGAAAAGCCCCACTCTAGAATAGCTCGGGAGCCGCTCTCTGCCTCCACCTCCCTTTTTGAGCTGACCGAGGCTGGCACGTAGTAGAGAGCTAAATTTGACTGGTTGATGAATTGGTGGCTTGGAGATGGTGGCATGTGTCTACACCGCTGTGAGAGTGTCTCCACATGGAGACTTTGAGCCCCAGGAGACCGGAACTGTGTTTGTCTTGTCCGCACTTCGTCAGCATTTTCTAACCCGGAGCCCAGCACGTTGTGTAGCACGTGCTGTAAAATACAGCCTCCAGATGCTTTCTGTGGATCTAGTGGTTTTTATTTATTTATTTATTTTATTTTATTTTATTTTATTGAGACAAGGTCTCGCTCCCTCACCCAGGCTGGAGTACAATGGCGTGATCATAGCTCACTGAAGCCTCGAACTTCTGGCCTCAAGCGATCCTCCTGCCGTGGCCTCCCGAGTAGCCAGGGCTACAGGCACACACCACCATGCCTGGCTAATTAAAAAAATTTTTCTTAGAAATGGGATCTCGCTATGTTGCCCAGGCTGGTCTCAAACTCCTGGCCTCCAGCCATCCCCCTACTTCTGCCTCCCGAGTGGCCAGCGTTACAAGTGTGAGCCACTGAGCCCAGCACCAGTATATTTTACATGTTTATTTTTGTTGTCAGTGCTAAAAAAGAAATTGGGAGACTTTACATACAAATGCTGATTTTTGGATCCTCTTGAAAAATCAGATGGTGGGGCAGCTCGGAGCCAAAGAATGGCCACCTTCTTTGGATAGGACCCCATGCCCTCCAGCTTGCCCCAGGCCCCACCTGACCTGTTCACTCATTTATATGACCCTGCTGCTGGCATCTGGGTTTGCAGGCCCAGGATAGAGACTAGAAAAATGTTTGCTCAGTGGGTGACCTTCGTGTGTTCTGCCATACGCGTGTTCCCTGCCTCCCCCACGGCCAGCTTAGAACATGCACAGAGCAGCGTCCGTCCGGGATTGGCAGCGCTCCGTGGTAAAGTGTGCCCAAACTTCTCCAGCTTGCTCCTACTTTCCACTCCTAGCTCCATCATCTCGCACCCTCACCCTGTGCTAGAGGCATTCAGCCACCAAAAACCTGTTTTCGCTGTCCCAGTTGCCCAGGAGCAGAAGTCCCGGTTTCCAGGCACAGGTCTCACTGAGGACTCTTGGGGGAGGGCTGCTCCCTAGGCTTCAGTTTACCCTTCTGTCCAGGGGAGGACTGGACTAAAGGTTCCTTGGCTGTAAACTTCCTTCTTGTTCTCATTTTCTAGGGCTGAGTCCAAGCTGTTTTGGTCAGGCAGGAGGGGTGGGGCTTAGATGCAAGAGTCACTCAAAAATATCACATTCCCTAAAGATTAATGAAACATCTTGATCCGTGTTGCCCTGTAGCTGGGCCAGGGGCCAGCAGTGGGCCCCAGCCACTGGGCATGGCCCTGGAAGGGAGTATGCCCTCTTCCTGGACAAAAGTCTGCTGCAGCCTGAGCTCAAAAGCGATGGCAGAACACCATGGTTGAGAGCACAGGCTCTGGACTCTGCCTGGGTTGGAATCTCGCTTAGCTGCTGTGTGACCTTCGGCAAGTCACTTACCCTCTCTGGGCCTCAGTTTACATATCTGTAAAACAGGGATAATACCTACCCCAGAGGGTAGTCAGGGTATTAAGCAGGCTGAAGTATGAGAGGGGCCTGGGACAGGGGCTGCCCCATCAAAAGGGCTCCATAACTGCTGGCCCTTATTAAAAAGGGCCTCAGCACGTGGGTGACTAAGCCTTGGTGGCTATCCTTGTGGGACTATCCCCAGGGAGGGGCAGGGGTCTTTGAGAGGCAGTAGCATGTAGTCAAGAACAGGGAGCTTGCCCCTGCTCTGGGCAGGGAGGGTGAAGGAGGGTACAAGGCTGAGAGCCCGAGGGCCCTCCCTGAGCCTGCTCTGGAGCTCTGCTGGAGAGGGGACTCTGGGTGGCCTGGTTCTGTAGTTAAGGCCCTTGGCAGCCTCTGCTTCCCAGGAGTGGTGCCTTCTGGGCTTTTTCCTGGGGTGGCTCCCAGAGGCTTTCTGCCCCAGGCCAGAGTTCTCCCCAACTCCCTTGCTCCCCCTTCCAGCTCCAGGAAGCAGTGGCAGCTGGGCTTGAAGGGCTGGCTGAAGTCCCCTCTAGTCCTTCCTGCTCACCCACCCTTCCCTGCCCCTGCCACAGCTTGGCCACACCTGGGGAAGGAACAGGTCCAGACTTGCCGCTCAGCCCCTGCTCGGGAAACCCTGTAATGTCTGAGTTGGAAAGGAAGCAGTGGAGCATTTTTCAATGTCAAGCGTTCTGTGCCAGGCACTGGACATCGCTTTCTCATTTAGCCCTGAGAACAGCACGGCCTTAGCCCCAGAGCAGGGATTGGAGCCCAGCTCCGAGGACCACCAAAGGTTTGTGTGAAACCTGCAGCAGGCTGCCAGGGTTCGAATCCCGCCTCTACTGTTCTCTCATTGCGTGACCTTGGGCAAGTCAGCTATCCTCTGTGCCTCAGTTTCTTCTGGTACAGAATGGAGATAATAATAGCTCCTACCTCCTAAAGTTGTTGTGAGGATTAAATGAATCTGTTACAGGTAAAGTGCTTTTAGCTGTGCCTGCTGCTTAAGTGTTTGCTCTTAGTATTTCTGTCACACCCTGCTGGGGTATGCAGATGAGCTGATCAAGGCCAGGGGACCTGCTGTGACTTCCCACCGCATTAGCACTCCTTCCCTGTGGCTTGAGGCAGTCACTGGTGGGGCCCAGAATGTTCCAACTGCCTCTGGGCACTGGGATGGCCCTGAGGGGTAGGGAGACAGGGCAGGAGTGGTGCTGGACAGGACAGAGCTGCCTCCTCCTCCCGGCCCCAGAGACGCTGCACAGCTCTTGGCCCCCACTGCCTCCAAGGCAGCTTTCCTGAGTCTGTTAGGGCCCCTGCTGGAGCAGGAAGGGGCTTCTGACGCTAAGCCAGGGCTCAAGGCCTTGCAGGGAGGAGACCCTCCCACCTTTGCAGCTCAGGTGCCTGCCAGCCCTGACCCCAAGTGTCTCTAGGAGGCACAGTGGGACCCACAGTTGACACAGCTTAGTGGTGAAAAGCACAAGCTCTAGACCCAATCTCTAGCTGTGTGACCTTGGGCAAGGTGCTTAACCTCTCTGTGCCTCGGATGCCTCATCTATAGAAAAGGGGGATGATATTAGTATCTGCTTTGTAGGGTCATTTTGAGGAGTACACAAATGGATGTTTGTAGGGTGCTATGAATGGCATCTAGTACCCATGAAGGGTTTGCTGTTAATATACGTCCTCAAAATCCCTGAGCAGAAAGGGGATGTTAGCCCCACTTTAGCAGATTAAAAAAATGGAGGCTCAGGGCTGATAGTTCCATATCTGGGGTTCAGGGAAGATTCTGTCCACCTTTCTACCATTCACACAGTCCACAGGGCAAGGCCAGCCTAAAGGAGGACCCAGACTGGGCCCTGGCTGTGTTCTGTTACAACATCTCCCCAGCCTTTCTGCCCCAGGCCTCTGCTCACAGCAGAGAGGAAGCTGTGGCTCTGGCCACGGGGCTCCCCCAGAAGCCTCTATTTATATGACCCACTGGCCCCTGCTGCTGGCATCTGGGTTTGCAGGTCCAGGATAGAGACTAGAAAAATGTTTGCTCAGTGGGTGACCTTCGTGTGTTCTGCCATACGCGTGTTCCCTGCCTCCCCCACGGCCAGCTTAGAACATGCACAGAGCAGCGTCCGTCCGGGATTGGCAGCGCTCCGTGGTAAAGTGTGCCCAAACTTCTCCAGCTTGCTCCTACTTTCCACTCCTAGCTCCATCATCTCGCACCCTCACCCTGTGCTAGAGGCATTCAGCCACCAAAAACCTGTTTTCACTGTCCCAGTTGCCCAGGAGCAGAAGTCCCGGTTTCCAGGCACAGGTCTCACTGAGGACTCTTGGGGGAGGGCTGCTCCCTAGGCTTCAGTTTACCCTTCTGTCCAGGGGAGGACTGGACTAAAGGTTCCTTGGCTGTAAACTTCCTTCTTGTTCTCACTTTCTAGGGCTGAGTCCAAGCTGTTCTAAGTTTTGGTCTTCCCATACCCCCTCCTCCAAGGACAGTGGTGCAGTGCCACTGTGGCTGGCCTCAGGGTCCCTGAGTGCAAGGCCCAGGCCAGGTCCATGTCTCTCTACCTCCCAGGGCGCGGTGCACGGGCTGGCTTTAGGAAGGGTTTACCCGGGCCTGGGGTTGGGCCTGCATCTCACTTGGAGTGAAAGCCAGGTCCCCGCTGTGGCCTCCACACGTCCTACATTGGCTCGTAAGATGGGCCAGCCCTCCTCACCTCTACCCTGTCTCCTGCCCCCAGCCCCTCACCCACCACTTGGCAGCCACCCCCCACACACACACCCCGGGCCTCCACACTCCACATTGTCCCCTGCAGCGCCCACGTCCTTGCAGCCCTCTCAGCGGGGCTCACCCTGACCACCACGACAGTGTCCTCGCCCTTGCCCCGGGCCTCCACACTCCACATTGTCCCCTGCAGCGCCCACGTCCTTGCAGCCCTCTCAGCGGGGCTCACCCTGACCACCACGACAGCGTCCTCGCCCTTGCCCGCCCAGCTTTCCCTTCAGGACATCACTGTCGCACACACGTCTCTTACCGTCTCTGTCCCTGTCTGCCTCCAGCCCAGAGTATGAGCTCCTCGAGGGCAAGGCTGTTTGGTTCACGAGTATTCCAGATCCAGGAACAGTGCCAGGTGCATAGTAGGTGCTCAACAGATATTTCTTAAATGTTCTGGAACCAGACAGATCACCTCTAAGCCGCTTCCTAGCTGTGACACACTGGTCATACAACTTAATCGTCCCTTCTCCGAGTCTCAGTTTCCTGAGCTGTGAGACAGCAGTCCCCAACCTTTTTGGCACCAGGGACCATTTCATGGAGGACAGTTTTTCTACGGACCAGGGAAGGGGGTGCTCAGGCGGAGGGGAGCAGCTGTACGTACAGACGAAGCTTGGCTCGCTTGCCCACCGCTCACCTGCCGTGCGGCCCGGGTTCCTAAGTTTCATGGGAGACAATTTTTCCACGGATGGGGCAGGTGGCTCGGAGCTCAGGCGGCGATGTGTGGCCCCTTCCTAACAGGCCAGGGCCTGGGGGATTGGGGACCACCGCTATAAGAGATGTCATGGGAATAATAATAGCAGCTCGTCCTCAGATTGTTGCGAGGTTTAAATGAGTCAGTATATATTAAGTGCTTATACTTTAAGCTGTCTGTGTCGGCTATCGCTAATAATACTTCAGCCTGCACCACTGTTGTCCCCATGTCGCTGCTGAGGAGGTGGGGGCCCACAGGCAATAAGTGGCCTGCCCAAAGCTTCCTGGTTGTGAGTGGCTGTGCCACCCGCACCTGCGCTGGAGCTTGGGGAGGGCAGGGAGTGAGGGCTGCGGCTGAGGAAGGGCCCATCTCTCCTGGGAGTCTCTGCTCGCTCAGCCAGCTCTCTGGAGGCCACCACTTGTCCCTGGTGGACACCCAGCCAAGGCCCCTGGCCTGTCAGCCAGTGGTGGGTGACCACGTGCTCTCTGCCCTCCACTCCTGTTGACACCCCTGAGTGCCAGCCTCCCCGTGCAGCTAGGCTGGGAAGACCTCTCCAGCTTACTGCCCCCCCCATGCCCCCAGGGGCCACCTTGGGCCCTGGGCCCTCAAGTGGCCAGGAGGGCCAGGCCCAGGGCTTCCACCTCCTCCAGGGCCCTGCTGGGGTGGGCTAGAAGAGACTGGAGGCCTGTTCTAGCTCTGGGCACCAGCTGCAGGCAGGCAGCGTCACAGGCTATTAATAGCCACCAAGGATGTGCCCTGAGAAAGGGGCGCACTGTACACCAGCTGGGAGGGGAGGCTGAGGCAGGGCCTGGAGCCAAACATGGGGCCTCAGAGCACAGGGAACCCAGGCTGCCCCTGCGGGGGAGGGCAGTGAGGAGGATATTGGGTTCTGGTTTCTGAGGCTTAATCCTGGGAAATGGGGTGGCTGGGTCAGACGATCCCCACAGCCCCTGCCGGCTCCAGTGGGTCCTAGGGGTAAGATTTAGCAGAGCTAAATGGTCTTCACCTATAGAATAGAGAACCAAGGCACAGTGAGGGTATGGCTTCACCCGAGCTCACCTGCAGGGTCAACGGCAGAAGCAAGGTCCTGGGCCCCGCCGTCCAGCAAACCTGCTGAGCATCTGCTATGTGCCCATCATGTTAAATAGGCATTCTCAGCTCCATTTGACTGATGGGCAAACTGAGCCTTAGGCAGGTGGCACAACCTGCCCGAGGTCACACAGCTAAGGGGTGGAGCCTGAATCTGTGCCCTCTGAGGAGGAGATTTGAGAATGTTCTCTTCCTCCTTCTCCTCTTGAACCAGAATAGAATGTTTGGTGGAGTCTGATTTGTGTCGAAGGACTAAGGAGGGGAAGAGGCCTTATCCAGAGCCCCAGTCCTTCTGATGTTGAGTGTAGAATAATGCATGTGTTACATGGGAACATTTGTCAAGGGGGAAGGTCCTGGGCCTTATGGTGACCCACGAAGGAATAAGAACCAGTAGCTTGGCTCACTTCATAGACTGGAAGACTGAGGAGGAGAGGGGATGGCCAGGGCTCCCTGACAACCAGGGCACAGGCCAGAGTCTTTCCCAGCAGCTCTGGGTCCCCTGCTCCCTGGCAGTGAATAGAGGAGTCCACGTGCAGGCAGACAGATTTCTGTACTGAAGTGCTGAGCCCAGGGGCGATGGGAGGCTGGGGACATCCTTCAGGTGAGGTGTTTAGAGGCAGAGAGCCAGGCTGGGACATCCACTTTGGGGACATAGAAGGAGGTTCCTCTTCAGGCAGGGTGTTAGGGGGCTCCCAGATGCCCCCACATTCCTGAGCACAGTGACCCACTGTGGGCATTCAGGGCAGCCACGATGGACCAGTCATCCTCCTCTGGTCCCTCTCAGGAGTTTGGCCTTGTCTGGTCCCCAACCACACCTGGTTCCTTTTGCTCCCTGGACCCAATAGGACCGTACCAAGTGAAAAGTTTCATCCCTACCCTTCCTCTGTTCCCTCGGTCCCCACCCTTCTCCCTAGTAGGTCATTTGTTCGTTCATTCATTCGACAAATATTTATTAAGTGCCTACTAGGTGCCAGGCACCAAGTTAGCCACAGTGGTATGCAGCAGTGAACTAGGCCAGACAGCAAAGTCCCTGCCCTCCAGCTACTTCCGTTCGACTGGGGGAAAGAGACAGGCAGGATGGATGTCAGAAGTCGGCAAGTTACATAATGCATTAGAAAGTGATATGTTCTACTGGGAAAACACAGAGCAGGGTATGGGGGTCAGGAGTGCAGTAGGGCGGCCTGAGTTGAGAAGATGTCATTTGAGCAGAACTTGGAGGAAACTGTGTGGCTATCAGAGGGTAGAGGTGTCCAGGCAGAGGGAACAGCCCCCAGGCAGGAGGCTGGCATGTTCAGGGGACAGCAGGGAGACCAGTGTGCTGAGTGGGGTGTGGGGAGGGAGGTCAGAGGGTCAGTGGAGGGCTTTGGAACCAGATGGGAGCCCGTGGAAGGTGCTGAGCCTGGGGGTAATGTGACACTCCCTGGCTGCTGTGTCAGGAATGGACTGTGGGGGCGGGCAGGGGACCAGCTAGGAAGGTACTGCAGAAGCTGAGAGGTGATGAGGTGACCAGTGGGAGTGAGTGATGAGGAGTGGCCAGGGTGGCAAACACCTTTCTTAATGTCTGGTGTTGATTCTAAAGTTATTTTATGCAAATACATGCAAATGAGAAACCTTATTTCCCTTCATTTCAAGGTAGCTTACTACATACCTGAGACTGTCTGGCCTCATCCCAGAGTGATACAGAGGCCCAGAGATGGCCAGGGAGCTGGGGGCAGCTGCTGTGTTCCCTCTCCTATGTGGCTGGGGGAAGGCCAATGGCACAGCTCTCTGGGGGCCATCGGACACTCTCCAGAAATTCCAAATGCACCCACACTTTAACCCAGCAAGCCTATTTATAGACTCTATCATACAGATACACCTGTGCACTGCAAAACAGCTCCGTGCAAGGCTTCTGTACGTTGTTTATAGTAGTAGTGAGAGGGTAGCTGCCACCCCAGTCTCTACAGTAGGAGTTTGGTTAAATGAATGGCAGCATATTCGTATGTACCTTTCCGCCCTGGGGGCCTGAGTTCCAGTTCTGCTGCAGTTCTCCTGCCTGGCCGGCCCCCTGTGCTCCTGCAGCCACCTCCCACCTTGCCCTTGGTGCTGGGCTGGCCTGGGTGCTGTCCATGCCTGTGGTGCTGAAGACTATGGGGCTGGAGGGAGGCCGGTGCTGTGAACCTGAGACCAAGAGTAGAGAAGCGGAGGTAGAGCAGGGGGATGTTCAGGGTTCAATGCCTGGCGCTGCTACTCAGGAGCTGAATGACTTTGGGCAAGTTGTTTAACCTCTCTGACCCTCAGTGTCCTTATCTACAAAATGGGTTGCTGTGAAGATTGAATGGCAGCAGCAATGTAAAGCCTTGGCACATTGATAAAATAAATGGCAATTTTTAGTGTATCATTTTAGAGACAGCAAAGCATAGTGGTTAAGCTTCTGGGCACCAGAGCGACGATGCCTGGATTTGAATCTTGGCTCTGCCACTTACTGGATGGATGATCTTGAGCAAGTGATATGACTGCTCTGTGCCTCAGTTTCCTCATCTGTAAATTGGGGCCAACGATAGTCCCCATGTCATAGGATATTGTGAGGATTCAATGAGTTCACTTACATGAGGCACTTGGCATATGACAGGGGTTCCCTAAGTGTTAGCAATTTATCATCACTTTCCTCCCTGTCATCATCGTGAGTCTCATGACAGCACTCCAGCCTCTCTGTTCACAGTGACCAGGGTTACTCACAGCCACTCCCATCTGTGCTGTGCTTGGGGCCGGGGCTGTTAGAGGGAGACAGCACCTTGTCCCATGGGTGCTCCAGCCTCTAGCCCGGCCCTGCCACTCTACGTGCCTTTGAGCCAATAACTGTTCCTTTCCGGCCATCAGACTCTGCATCTATAAAATGGTGCGAATGATACTTCATGCAGGTCCCTGAGAAAATAGCTATGTCCCTATAGGGTCACATTCAGGAAAGCCAAGATATAAAAAGTTACAATTTCCCAAACACGTAGAGAATTAATCACTCGGCATTTGTCACACCCTGGCTAAGTGCTGGGAATAGCAAGATGATTAAGGCATGGATGGGGCTTGCTTTCAAGGAGTTCTTAGGTTTCTTGCTGGGTGGTTAATCCCCTTCAAGGCCTATTCAGGTGTCACCTTCTGCCGGAAGCCACCCTGATCTCCACTGCCATTCCAAGGACCCTCCTTGGAAATGCTGGAGCACTGACTATTGTCCTGTGTCGGTGTTTTCGCTGCCACCCTGCTTTGTAGACGCATTCCCATTTGTCTGGTGCACTGCTCTAACCTACACCCCATGCCAACACCCAGCACAGTGCCTGGCCCGAGTGGGTTGCAAGTTACATAAACCCAAGTCAAACGAGCTTAGTTAAGCCAAAAAGGAAGTGTATTCATTCATGAAACAAATGTCGAGGAGCATAATTGGCTTTAGATGTGCCTGGATCCAGGCTCAAAGTCATCAGAAATCTCTCCACCTTTCTCTCATCTCTATTTAGCTTTGTTGCTTTATTCTCTAGCGGGTCCCCCCACCCCCTCTGCATGGTGGCAAAGCCAACCCCCAGCAACTCCAGACTTGTGTCTCCTAGTTTTGCATCCCAAGGTGAGAGGATACCTCTTTCCTGATGGCTATAACAAAAGTCCTAGTCCTAGATCTCTGTGGGTCACCTTCGGTCACTTGTTCATCTCTGAACCAGTCACAGTGGCCTGGCAGATGATGGGATGGGTCCACTGGTTGGCCAGGCCTGGGTGGAGACACCTGTGCTGAACCACATGGGTGAGAGAGGGCCATTACCCAAGGCAAGGGGCATTGGTGCTGAGCGGGAGAAACATCATGTGCCCATTCAAGCAACCATGGAAAATGCGTGAGCGAGTCAAGGATTGGATCAAATCTGATCGTAAATCAGTTTCTCCAACCACGTACATCAGAAGGACTGGGGGAGGAACGTAGAGGCGGGCGAGGGCATGTGGAGGGGTGGAGGGTGGCTCAGTCACACAGGCCCCAGCCCCCGTTGCTTTACAGAGGAGCACAGTGAAGCAGGTGAGAGCGGTCTGAGGTGCTCCCTGTCCGCCCCCTGGGGCCTGGAATACCATCACAAGCCTGCGTTTGTTTTCCACAGGGATTTGTGAAGTGAGGAGCAGTGACCAGTCAGTGGCATCCTTCCAGGCCAGGGCTTTGCTAGGGATACCCCTGGAGTTTGCCCACGCCAGGAGCACAGCAGCACCGGTCCAGCGCTCTGAGGGAGGGGACTGGACATGGGGGCAGAGGATCTTAGCATCCCAGAGAGAGAACCAGAAAGGCCTGGCTGGCATCACTAGATCCGGCCTCGTCCCCACTGCTTCCCCAACAGATGAGCATCCAGCCTCTGCTTCTACCCCGCAGCGAGGACGCACTTCCGCCCCGCCGCGTCTTATTTTGAGCCGCTGCCTGTCTGATCTGGCTTTAGGGGCCTCGCAGGACACAGTGCGGAAGAGCGTGGGCTCTGAGGCCTGATGGCCGGAGGTCAGTCCCAGCACTGCTAACTACTCACCTGGGCAGGTGCTCAGCCCCTCTGTGCCTCCGCATCTGTCCCGGTCCATTCTGTGCTGCTGTAACAGAATAGCCTGGACTGGGTGATCATAATTAACAGAAATGTATTTCTCACAGCACTGCAGGCTGGGAAGTCCAAGATCAAGGTGCCGGCATCTGGTGAGGACCTTCTTGCTATATCCTCTCATGGTGGAAAGGAAAGAGAGAGGGAGGGAGGGACTGGCCAAAAGGGGCCAAATTCGTTTTTTTCTAAGGAACCCTCTCCTGAGATCATGGCAGAGCCCTTGTGGCTGAACCATCTCCTAAAGGTCCCACCTCTTAATACGGTTACAATGGCAATTAAATGTCAACATGAGTTTTAGAGGGACATTCAAACCATAGCAGTATCCCTTTCTGTAAAACAAGGATAATAATAATAGTCGTACCTACCGCTCAGGGTTGTGGTGATTATTCTATGATTGAATCCACAGCACCTGGCATGTGTTAAATGCTCAGTAAACATTTGCTAGGGTGATTTTCCTCCTGCAAGACAGGATAAGAGCAGGCCCCCTTCTCTTTGCAGGCTGGTCACCCTCCACCCACTCCTGTCACTGGGTTCTTGTCACTTGGTCCCCAGTGTTATCCTGGTTATCCTTCTCTGGCCACATTCTGGGCAGTTGAACACAATGAGGGTCATATCTTAGCTCTTTTGCTTACCTACGACATAACCTCTGAGTTGGGGCAGTGCCTGCTGCTGAAACAAACAAGCTCCCATCTCAGCAGCTAACACAATAGAAGTTTCCTTCTGGCTCACGTGACAGTGAAGAGTGGGTAATCCTCCTTGTCATGATTTGGGGACCTAGGCTCCTCCTGTCTTGTGGCTTCACCACCTTTTATGGTTTGCAGTGCTCTGCAGCAAGCCATCACGCAGAAGAAGAGAGACTAGAGGGAAGCTTCCCCAGTTCTTGGAAGCCCCAGGCAGGCAGGGACACACACCACTTCTGTTCACAGCCCCGTGGGGAAAGGCAGTCACGTGGCTGCCCCAGATGCAAAGGAGGCTGAGAACGTAGTTCCCTGCTGGACAGCCACTTTCCAGCAGCGACTTTGTAGTAGAGAAGAGGAAACACACATTTTTGGTGGACAGTGGCTGTCTCTGCTACGATTGTGGGCAGATCACCAACCTCTTGGGCCTCTGTGCTTCGTCTGTAACACAGCATCGCTCGACCATGGCGAGGGTTGCACAGCTCTGTACATTTACTGAAATCATTGAATCGTACGCTCCATGGGCGAGTTTTGTGGTATGTAAGTTACACCTCAATTAAGCTGTTTTTTAAAGTTAGGAACCATCTTGCCCCAGTCTTAGGGTTCTTGTGAGCCCTCAGTGAGAAACTTGGCCAAGCTGGCAGCACTGTGATGTGTGGTGGGGACCTGGGGTTCCAAAGTAGGCCTGAGCTGGGTGATGAGGTCACTGTAGTTGCATACGGGTGGCTCCCATGGCTCCCAGCTCCAGCCGCCCGGCAAGAGGAAGTGGTAGGCGGTTCGGTCTTGCCCCTCCCTTGGGAAACCCTCCCCAACCACGGTGGCCCTCCCAGCATGTGGCAGAGCCACAACTTCTGCTGTGAAGTTGGGGGACCCCACCCGCGCTCAGCAGCACACATAGCAGGTGGAGGCCTCCCTGGGGGCCAGTGAGGACACACGCTTGAGGTGCAAGGTGGGGGCCCAGCAGCTTGAGTGTGGGCGGGGGCGGGGCCGACTGCACGGCTCTAACAAGGTCAGCAGAGGCCTCCCCTGCTGGGTGTTGGCAAGTTCACAGCCATCAAGCCCACAGCTGCTGCTGGAAGTGGGTGCAGTGACGAAAGTGATGATAAAATACTTGGAGGATCAAGTTCCCACTGAGACTCTGTCCTCTTCTTCCCTACTTGGCTACTAACGGATGGGGGGAGATGGTCCCAGCATCCTTGGGAAAGCACAGTGATCAAAAGCACCAACTTTGGAGCCAGTGCCGTTGCTAGCTGTGTGACCTTGGGCCAGTTGCATAGTCTCTGTGCTTTGCTTTCCTCCTCTCCAAAGTGGGAATGATAATAATACCTGGTTCTTAGAGTTGTGAAGATTGAGTTAGTCCTTAGAACAGGGACTAGCATGCCGTACGTCCTATAAATGTTGGTGCCATTATTATAACTGCTGTTGTTACTGTTTTCTTCATCATGTGGATGTGGAAGCTGAAGCTCAGAGAAGTGGTGTGACTTGCTCAAGGTCACCCAGCTAACAAGTGGCGCACGTTAAGATCAAGGCCAATCCTGCAAGCCTCAAGGCCCGTGCTGTTCCCGTCACTCCCCACTGCGCCTCTCAAGTCACGTGTGTCGGAACTGGGTCAGAGGCAGCGTGTACCTGGGGGATGACGCGCAGGCGTGTGGATTAATTCCTTGTCTCCTGCTGACACCTTGCAGAGAATAGGCCTGAAGGGGGAAGGAGGGGTGGTGGGGAGAACCCCAAAACTGGACCCTACGGAACCAAGGAAAGAGAGGGTTGAACCTGGTCTAGCCCCTGCCTCTGGGGAGCTCTTGGCTCGTTGATGGGACAGAGAGGGACACAGCTGAGACTACCCCTCCAGGACTTCCTGGAGGAGCAGGAGCTCAGAATAATGAGGCCGGGAAGAGTGAAACAGGCAGGAGAGGTTGGTCGGGAGCTGTGAGGATATGGAATAGGGGACACCAGAGCTGTGGACCAGCTGTGTGGAGTAGTGGGCAGAGCGGGGGCTGCAGCTGGGGGGGAGGGGCACACGTGGGGCCCAAACCTGCCTACATGGCTGTGCCCCGCCCCACCCAGGGCCTTCCCGGGCAGCTGAGGCCATGGGTGCAGGGAGGAGCCAGGCACCCAGTCCCTGGGGGAGGGAGGGCTGGTAGCCACTGGCAGCTGCCAGTCCAGCGCCCAGCGAATGCAGAAGAGCCCGAAGTGACCTGGTAGGGCCAAAGCCCAAGGCAGGAGAGCTGCACACATGTGTACACATGTGCTGCACGCACGTGGCCCGCCCACCTCAGCAGCCCTCGGGGAGTCCACACACCTCAGGAGAAGTAGGTCAGCAGAGCAGCCGGCGTCTGTCCCTGGCGGGCGGGGGAGGAGCTGGAGGCAAAGAGGGCTGTGCACTCATCTGAACCCCCGGGGACAGCCCCACTCCACGCAGAAAGGGCCCAAGGACACTCTGGCCTGAGGATGCTGCACAGGAACAGCCGTGCCCGTCTCTGCTGGCGTTGCGGCAGCTGCCTCCGTTTCCTAGCTCAGGAGCCTCCTCACCCAGGCTGGACGTTTGACTGTGGTTGGAAGAGCAGATCTTTTCCAGCCCCTGAACCCAGGGAGAGACTGTCACGGAGAGATGCCGCCCCACGGCAGCCCAGGGCAGACCCAGTGCTGTGCAGCCAGAGCTGGGACTGCATGGAGACCTGGCGACAGGGGCCATGTCCGCGTTCGGGTCAGCACGCCGAGGGTAGAGAGGAAGGGCACGCGGGACCGGGCTGCCGTGGGCCTGTGACGTGGGCTGGGGCAGGCTACAGACTAGACTCTCCGAGGACAGTATGTGGCATTTCAGCCAGAGTCCCTGGCACCCGTTCAGGTTGAAATGACTAGGAAAGCAAAGGCAGTAAGTAGCTGGGCGGGGGATGGGGTGGAGGGGGGTGGTGGGGGTTCTGCTAGAGTAGGGGAGATGGGCGGGCTCATGAGCGAAGGGAAGGGGTGGGCAGAGGGGTGACGGGCAGAGGATCCCGAGGAAGCAGAGGGTGGGAGCTGGGGGGAGGGGTGCCTCCTCCCCAGCCAGCTGAGAGGACGATGCAGATGGAGCTCCGTTTGGGGCTGGGTGGGAGGCCAGGAAGTTCCTCCTGATGTTCCTCCTCTCCGTGTGAAGTGGGAGGCTGGGTCGTGCCGGAGCGAAGGGGAAGGCGGGGGGGTGTGCAGGGGGTGCTTGGGGCCTGGAAGAGAGCTGCTGGGCCAGGATGCAGGATGAGGACTCTGTGCTCCCCTCCCCAGCCCTCTGGCCACGGCCAGCAGCCCTTGCTCAGCCAGGGACAGCAGGGAGTAACAGTGTTAGCAGCAGTTCAACACCGGCACCCGCAGACACCCACTGTGTGCCGGGCACCAGGTGCTTCGCGTCTGTTAACTTACTTAATCTTCACAACAGCCCGTGGGGAGAAAGTGCTGTTATTATATCCTTCTTAGAGATGGGGAAACTGAGGCACAGGGGGACGAAGTAGCTTGCCCAAGGATATCCAGCTAGCAAGTGACCGAGAGTGGGGATTTAGACCCAGGCTATCTGGCTCCCAATCTGAGCCTCCTCCCAGATGGCACTGTGGTGGCTGTCCTTCAGGGAGTGTGGGGGGGGGCTGAGGGGCAGTCTGGGGTGCTAGGGCAATGCATCTGGGATTAGAGGGAGAAGGGAGTGAGGGAAGGACAGAGGGAGGCTGCACTGGGAGGCAGGCACCCAGCAGCTGGAGGCCTCTCCTGCCACTGCACATGCACACGCACACCTGCACCCGGGAACTGCTCAGCTCCTGCACCCCCACTTTACAGATAAGAAAGGAAGGCCCCAGAGTGGCTGCCTGGAAGACAGGGCTGGGGAGGGACAGGGGCATATACAGGGACGGAAGGAAGCATTGGGGCGATGGATATGTCTGTGATCTGATCACAGTGATGGCCTCATAAATATATACATGTGTCAAAATTCATCAGATCATACGCTTTACATACATGTAGCTTGTTGCACATCAAATATACCTCAATAAAACTGGGAAAATGAAAAATAAGGGATAAAAGAAGGAGTGAAGGCCCCAGATGGAGAGTTAGTTCACTGTCACCCACTCAGAGCCTTCAAGAGTCAGGTCCCAGGCTGGGTGTGGTAGCTCACACCTGTAATCCCAGCATTTTGAGAGGCCGAGGTGGGAGAATTTGTTGAGGTCAGGAGTTCAAGACCAGCCTGAGCAACATGGTGAGACCCCATTGCTATAAAAAATAGAAAAATCAGCCGGGCATGGTGGCTCGTGCCTGTAGTCCCAGCAACTCGGAGGCTGAGGCGAGAGGATCCCTTGAGCCCAGGAGTTTGAGGTTGCTGTGAGCTATGTTGATGCCACTGGGCTGGGTCTTTGTGAGGTGGGTGCTCTGGCCTTGTGTCTGGGGGCAGGGGCTGGGGGGCCGGGACTGCAGCTGCAGTGCGTGTGCCTTGTGTGCGTCTGCGCTGGGGGAGGCCCCGCCAGGCTGCGTTGGCGTGTGGCCGTGCCTCGTCGTGTGGCCGAGGTGTTTGACGCGGCAGCCGCTGCCTCAGACCTCCCCTTCACGTGTCACTGTGTTTACTGCCCGTCTCCCTCTGGAGTGTAAGCCAGGGATTCACAGCCGTGTGTTGAGCGATGTGTCCCCAGGGTTTTGGACAGCCCTGGCAAACAGTGGGTGCTCACTGATGCTTGTGAATGGGCGCACTCGTGTGAACTCAGTATCTGGCTGTGTCTGTGTGACATAAACACAGGGGCCTTGCCTGACGCCGTGTGGGTGACAGCATGAGGCAGATGGGCTGGTGGTACCCAAGTGTGCGGGCAGGGACAGTGACTGTCTTGGGGAATGCTGGCTCAGGCTCGGCCCTTTCAGGAGGATGCTTCTCGCCCCCTTGTGGTCATCTTGGGCCTGGCATCTGGGCCCAGCCTCAAGATTTCTGGGTGCTGGGGAATGGGGGGAGAGCCCTGGCCTGCTGACACACTTCATGCCACCACCCCAACAGGGAGAAGATGAGCGTGGGCTGCCCAGAGCCTGAGCCGCCCCACTCCCTGCCCTGCTGCGGGCCGGGGACCGCCCCTGGGCCTGGTGCTGGCGTGCCCCTTCTCACTGAAGACATGCAGGCGCTGACCCTCCGCACACTGGCAGCCAGCGACGTCACCAAGCACTATGAACTTGTCCGGGAACTGGGCAAAGGCACCTATGGGAAGGTCGATCTGGTGGCCTACAAGGGCACAGGTCAGTGTCTACAGGGGACAGGGTTTTAGGTCGGGGTGGGGGGCATGACTGGGGCTCTCCAGTTCTCTCCGTGGGGCCAGGAGGCCAGCAAGGAGGCAGAGCCAGGGGCCTGGTGGACAGGATGAGGCCTGACGCAGCCCAGGGAGGAGGAGACCGGGCAGATGGGGCAAGAGAAGGAAGCTGGGGGACATGCCCAGGGGCCTCTGCAGCCCAGGGGAGAGGACAGGGCTGGCAGCTGTGTTTGTGAAATCAGCATCATACCCACAATAGCTGCCCCTGAGGAGGTGGACAGAGAGCTGAGGGTGGGTGCTCAGAACGAGGCTCCACACCTAAATGGTGGAGGGAGATGCCTGTGGGGTCAGTATAGCCATCTCCATTTCTCAGATAAGGATGGTAAGACTTGGACAGATTCGGTCACTTTGCCAAGGTCACACAGCTACAGAGGGTTGGAACTAGGATGAAACCCCAGTGGTCAGCTCCAGAGCCTTCTCGCTTAGCCACTGAGCGGGGTGGCCCCCCATGCTGGAGGCTCACTGTGGTGCCCACTCAGCCAGCTGGGGCAGGAGGCTCTGTGCCAACCAAGGGCAACAAGAGGAGCACTGGATGTAGGGTCACCTGAGCTTTGCTACTTGCTTACTATGTGGCCTTGGGCAAGTGATTGACCTCTCTGTTGGTTTCCTTCTCTTGGTTTCCTCTCTTGGTTTCCTTCTCTGTCAAACAGGGTAATATTATTGCCCCCTTATGGAGCATGGCTTGTAAATGCGAAGTGCTGGAGGCAGGGCCTGCGATGCGTGAGTGCTCTGTGGACACATGCATGCGTGTCGCACAGCTGCACCAGGTGGGCCCAGACACCTGCCCAAGCACAGAGTCGGGGATGTGTGTCTAGAAGTATCTCCTTTCTTCTTATTCATTCATCCCTTTAACAGACACTTGCTGAGTACTTACTATGTGCCAGACTTTGGAGACACAGCGGGGAACAAGACAGAGGTCCCTGCGCTCAGGGGCACAGACAAGATAAATAAGCATACAGTATGGCAGGACAAAACGAGAGCAGGTGGAGGATGCGGCAGGCCCTCCTCACCACCCCGTCATGGAGGGTGCAGCCTGGGGGTAGGGGACCCAGGTGATCCTGCCTTGCTGCAGGGCCTTGGGCAAGTCCTTTCCTTTTGCTGGGTCTCCCATCTGGAAAATGAGGACAGTCCTGCAGGCTGGGCCCCAGGTTGTGCCTTGTCACTAGGACAGGCTGTGCAGACAGGCACGGGCGTGCCGGGTGCAGGACAGCAGGGAGAGGGGCTTCACTGCCGTTGCCGTCACTCCCATCAGGCACCAAAATGGCACTGAAGTTCGTGAACAAGAACAAAACCAAGCTGAAGAACTTCCTGCGGGAGGTGAGCATCACCAACAGCCTGTCCTCCAGCCCTTTCATCATCAAGGTCTTTGACGTGGTCTTCGAGACGGAGGACTGCTACGTCTTCGCCCAGGAGTACGCGCCCGCTGGGGACCTGTTTGACATCATCCCTCCGCAGGTATTAGGAGGGTAGCACAGTGACAGAAGAGTGTATGTGTGTGGTCAATCAGTATTTATTGAGTGCCTGCTGTATGTCAGTTACTAGTGGGGGGCCAGGGACGCACAGTGAAGACAAGGGCCCTGCCCCTGTCCTAGTGGGGAAAGACACCCACAACAAGCCGCTCCAGACAACATCAGATTGAGATAAGCACGAAAGGAAACAGCCAGAATGAGGGGATAGGGTCCAACAGCGCCTTCCTCTGGAACTGCACTGGAGGGGAGGTGTCAGGTCCCCTTGGGCAGGAGGCCCCACAGCAGGTGACCCTGGAGCTAGCAGGAGTGGGGGAGATCCAGGCGCTACGTTCGAATCCGCTCTGCCATTTGCTGGCTAAGTGATGAGACTCCTGGAGCCTCCATGTCCCCCCAGGGGAATAGCCACCGCGAGGGTCTGATGAAGACAGTGCTGAAAGGCCGCTTAGCGCAGCACCAGCGAGCGCTCCTCCTTCCTTGAGGTGCTGAGGTTACCGGGAAAGGGTGGGAGGCAAGAATGGGCAGGACGGAGAGGGAGCTGGAGAGGCCGGGCTGGGCGTGTGGGATGGGGTGTGGGCAGCTGGGACGGGAAGGAACTGGGGCACGGGGCGCCGGGGAAGGCCACCTCTGAGCGCCCCGCCCCGCCGCCCCGCCGCAGGTTGGGCTCCCCGAGGACACGGTGAAGCGCTGCGTGCAGCAGCTGGGCCTGGCGCTGGACTTCATGCACGGGCGGCAGCTGGTGCACCGCGACATCAAGCCCGAGAACGTGCTGCTGTTCGACCGCGAGTGCCGCCGCGTGAAGCTGGCCGACTTCGGCATGACCCGCCGCGTGGGCTGCCGCGTGAAGCGCGTCAGCGGCACCATCCCCTACACGGCGCCCGAGGTGTGCCAGGCGGGCCGCGCCGACGGCTTCGCGGTGGACACGGGCGTGGACGTGTGGGCCTTCGGCGTGCTCATCTTCTGCGTGCTCACGGGCAACTTCCCGTGGGAGGCGGCGTCGGGCGCCGACGCCTTCTTCGAGGAGTTCGTGCGCTGGCAGCGGGGCCGCCTGCCGGGGCTGCCGTCGCAGTGGCGCCGCTTCACCGAGCCGGCGCTGCGCATGTTCCAGCGGCTGCTGGCGCTCGAACCCGAGCGCCGCGGACCGGCCAAGGAGGTCTTCCGCTTCCTCAAGCACGAGCTCACGTCCGAGCTGCGGCGCCGGCCCTCGCACCGCGCGCGCAAGCCGCCCGGGGACCGCCTGCCCGCCGCCGGGCCGCTGCGCCTCGAGGCGCCCGGGCCGCTCAAGCGGACGGTGCTCACCGAGAGCGGCAGCGGCTCCCGGCCCGCGCCCCCTGCCGTCGGGCCGGTGCCGGTGCCCGTGCCCGTGCCGGTGCCCGTGCCCGTGCCGGTGCCCGAGGCCGGCCTGGCTCCGCCGGCACCCCCCGGCAGGACCGACGGCCGCCCGGACAAGAGCAAAGGGCAGGTGGTGCTGGCCACGGCCATCGAGATCTGCGTCTGAGCCGCCCCCGCCGCCCTCCCGGGGCGGGCACGCAGCGGGGGAGCCGCCCCGGGCCTGCTCCGAGCCGGTGCCGCGGCCGGCAGGAAAGCGACCGGCCCCCGCTGGGCTGGAGGGCGTTGCGGGTAGACTAGGCAGGACCGCTGGCTGCGGGTCCGGCCGTCCGGCCCGCGTGGGGCTGGGGAGATAGCCACCAAAGACCTCCGAAGCCGCCTGGTGGGCGGGGCCGCGGCCCAGAGGAGCCCCGCCCCGCGGACCCGAGCATTCAGAGCCCCGCCCACAACACACGCCAGGCGCGAGGGAGCGGCGGGGCCAGACTCCCGGACACCTCCCTGAGCCCTGGAACCCAACTAGTTGCTCCTTCTTGGCCCTCACACCCCTGGCAGATCATCCTGCAGTCCCACCCAATTCCTGCACTCCCGGCCACCCCTCTCCCACCCTGGGCACAGAAAGGGACTGAAACGTTGGGCAAGGAAGGGGCTTAAAGCCCCTCCCCTCCCCCAGGCACTGGCTGGGAGCAAGGCAACGAGGGGAGGCAGCCGCCAAGCCCTGGAAAATGTAGCAAATGTCTGGTTGTCGCATAGGTGTGTTTGTATGTACGGGCCCCAAGAATCTAGTGACCCCCACGCCCCCATTCCACCGGCGAGGACATTGAGCCCAGTAAGGAAGGCAGCTTGCGGTGGGCCAGTAGCCACTGAGAGGCAGAGCTCTCTCCCATCCCCTCCGGCCCAAGGGACTGTCCTGACAAGTCCCCGGGATAGAAGGGCTCTCGTGGCAGGGGTCTCGCTGCCCTGCATCCTTAGGGCCAGGAGCAAGTGCAGAGCCAGGGGCTGGGCCCAGCCCCCCTGCCAGCTGCATCTTCTCCAGGCCCTGGGGCCTCTTCCAGTCCTCACTGCCCCAGCCTGGACAGAGCAGCTTGGGCTTCCAGCAGGCAGGAGGGGACTTATGCCAGGAATTTCTTCTGAGATTTTATTGGGGTCAAACAAGCCACCCTCCAATGCCAGGCTGACCCCATCATCCTCAATCTACCATGTTTCTGGTACTGGAGTGGCAGGAGGCAGGAGCCGTGTGTGTGGGCACGAGAACGGGGGGCCATGGACGTGTGAAAACAGGTGTGCGCAGCCATGTGTGTTCCCGTGACTGCGCGTCCCAATGCCTCAGCCACTGCCCTCTGGCCAGGTTTCTCACCAGGCCGTGGTCAGAGGGTGGCCAGGCCTGCAGTTCCCCCGCCCTCAGGGAATCCGGCAGGGTGTGCCTGCTGGTTGGTCCAGGCCCCCAGGCAGCAAAACAGACAGGAGGAACCAGCCTCACCCAGCGCTCCCTCATGGGGACCTCCTGCCCTCTCTGTAGTGGCCTGGGACCCTACAATAACCTCAGCACAGGTGAAGCTGGCCTCTGTGTCTGACAGTGCCCTAGCAACTGTCCTGGGCTGCCCCTGCCTGGGTCCCTCCTGGGGTTCTGGGGCATTTGAGGGGCCTCCTTGGTGGACCAGGCTGGCCAGAGTGGACATCCATCACTTTCTGGCCTGGAGCCCCCACCTCTCTGCTCACCCTTCATTCCCACCTCGAACAAGGGCTATAGGTCCCCCTGCCCTGCCCGGGTCCAGTTTACAAACAGTGTGCGGTTGCCCCAGGGCCTGGCCCCTCTCCCAGGTATGCCCACTCCTCTCAAGACCCCACCTCCCCATGGGCATGGGGTCCTCCACATGCCAGGTAAGTAGCAGACCCCCCCTCCCACCAAGGGCCAAGTCTCCGAGAAGGCCCTGTCACTGCCCCAGCCCACCTGAAGCCCAGCCGGGCCATCTCTCCCAGCCGCGACTTCTCCTTTTGCCTTAGGCCTCGCGACATCCTGATCTCTCCTGCAATAACAAGGAAGCGAGATTCCACAGTAGATGTCCCTTGCGTGCACACCCCCCTCTCTTTGTTAAGATCCTGTTTGGGAGTCGACTCCCTTGTCGTAGTACCTAGTATGTTAGAGTCGGGAAGGGACCGTAGTGATGTAGCTCAGCCCTCATTTGCAGAGGGGCCAGGAGGGCGGCGACAAGCCTGACCCAAGGGCAGAACCGGATCGCAGGTCAGGGCTCTGCCGCTGCCTCCTCTGCTGGTCGGGCTGGGACCCTTTGCCCCCTTAGGAGAGGTGTTGGTCACAGATGTTTACCTCAGTTTATGTCACTGTCGAAGAAACAAAAAATAATAGCAAAAAATAACACCGTAGACATGAAGACTTAGAAGACAATAAAACACACACACACAATCTCCCCCCTTGCGATTTCTCTGTGAAGGTACAGTGTGTATGTTTGTGTGTGTGTGCGCGTGCGTCTATCCCGCCCCGGGCAGGCCAGGTCATCTCCGGCCTCTGTCCCAGCTCCTGTGTCCCCCATACTGCCCCTGTCCTCCGGTGCTTCCCAGAGGCCCCTCTGAGCTGGCCTGTGGGGTGTGGGGAGCCCCTGGGCGGGAGGCGGGGCCACAGGTCAGCTAGAGGGTCTCCCACCAGGCCCACTGAGCAGAGCCCCAAGGCTGCCTGATACTCCCTGAGCCCGTGCTGTGGCCGGTGGGACAGTCCTGGTGGCTGGCATCAGCATCCGAGCCTGGCTCAGGGCCTGGGGCAGGGGTCTGGGTGGAATCCCAGAAGTCCCAAAGCCCCAGACCCTCATGTCTTGCCACGCCCCACCCCATGTGTTTATAAATACTCTGGCAGCCTTTGGCCCTGAGAAGGTTTTTAAATGTGTTATTTACTTCTCTAAACATGACAATTGCTAAAAAATAAACAAAAGTTTAGAAAAATTACCACTGGGTGGCTGTGTGGTCTCAGTTTTGAGGTGGGAGGGCGCCCTGGGCACTCTGGAAACTGAAGGTTTGATCTTGACATGTTCCAGGCTCCCTGTGACCTCTCAGGCCTTGAGTAGGCCCAGGCCAGGGCTCAAGTGAGAGGGGAACAGGACCTGGGGGCTGGAGGAGGGGATGGGGAGAGACTTCCTGGCCTGGAGTCCAGCTTCAGCTTCCAGCCCTTCAGACTGGGCAGGAAGTAGAGGCAAAAGGCCCAAGGACCAGGGTAGGCCAGTTCACCACTCAGCAGTTATTTACCAAGCAACTCTTGTGTGCCAGGCTTCCTACTAGGGACAGGGACACAGCTGGGAGCAGGACAGATAGGGCTGCTACCCTCGGGCAGCTGGTGATCTGGTGACAGAGACAGACACCGCCCAGATAGCAGACTGGGCACTGTGAAGGTATGGAACTGGGATGCTCATCCAAGTTTGGAGGAGTCCTTGGAGGCTCCCTGAAGACAAGTCCAAAGGATTCAAAGTTCTCCAGGCATCGGCACGGCGGGGGCAGGAGGAAGCTGAACAGGCGGTGGGTGCAGACTCTGACAACAGGCAAAGTTCTTCTAAAGCAGGGGGAGTTGGGACAAGCTGTAGAGAGTTTCATGATTCAACATTAATTCAAGCTAAAAAGATTTATTTGAGACAAAGTCTCGCTCTGTTGCACAGGCTAGAGCACAGTGGCATCAGCCCAGCTCAGACCAACCTCAAATTCCTGAGCTCAAGGGATCTTCCTGCCTCAGCCTCCTGAGCAGCTGGGACTATAGGAGCATGCCACCATGCCTGGCTATTTTTTTTTTCTATTTTTAGTAGAGACGACGTCTTGCTCTTGCTCAGGCTGGTCTCGAACTCCTGAGCTCAAGTGATTCTCCCTCCTCAGCCTCCCAGAGTGCTAGGATTATGGCCATGAGCCACCGTGCCCAGCCCATTCAAACAAATATTTACTAATTACCCACTTGGGTCTGTCGACTCTGCCTTCAAGTGCAGGTGTGTGAGAATCAGCACTGCCCATGCAATGCTGCAGCTCTCCCTGGCCTCCTGCAGGAGCCTCCCCTCTGGCCTCCTAGCTCCCCTCCTGAGCCTCTGTAGGCTTTTCTTGGGACAGGAGCCAGACAGATTATTTTAGCTAATAAGACTTTAAAGGTGAAAGGAAGGCTGGTCCGAAGGTAGTGAGTTATCTCACGTGATTGTTCACAGTCAGTTACAGATTGAACTCCTTGTTCTACTACTTTCCCCCCTCCTCACTACTGCACTTGACTAGTCTTTAAAATTTAAATTAAAAAAATAAATAAATAAATAAATAAAGGTGAAAGGAAGTCTTACTAATAACCTATTTAACAGAGGAAAAATTAAACTATCAAACAGAAAGCAAGGGAAATAAACTCACAACAAAACTGCTCCCTTTGTTTTGTTTAATTAAAACACCTGTGGTCTAACTGGGTCCCTCTAAGACTTGGTTTTCTCAGTCCTGAAGAGCCCTAAGCAGACAAGAGGGGTGCGAACTTCCCACTCCAGCTCTCTGCCTCAGTGCTTGCCCCCAAAACCCAGATTCCAAGGACTCAGATAATCCAGCCTCACAGAGAAAGAACAAGAAACAAAGAACTCCCTGACATCTCACAGCCACTTCTGTTATCAGTCTGCCGGAGCAGAAACAAACAATTCACTTTTATTTTTTAAAAGTGCCAAACACCTTTCCTCCACTCCCTGGCACTACCCTCTACCTTTTCTTCAGTGCTGTGGCCACACTCTCACTCTTTTCTTTCTTTTCTTTTTTCTCTTTCCTTTCCTTTCTTTCCTTCCTTCCTTCCTTTCTTTTCTCTCTCTTTTCTTTCTTTCTCTCTCTCTGCCTCTCTCTCTTTCTCCTCTATTTCCTTTCTTGGGAAAATAAATAAACTTTGTACTTATTTCTATCCTAAACTCTGTGTGAGAATTCTTTCTCCGACCTGTCATGAACATCTAGTAAGTTTCCACCCTAACAAAAGGCAAGTGAAGGTATTGGGGGAAAAATTGATAAGATCTGTCACTCTGTTCTGAATCCTACAACCACTTCCTATTCCACCTAAAATCGAAGCTGAAGTCCTTAGAGTGGTGTCCAAGGTCCCACATGGTCTGGCTCCAGCGCTTTCCAGCCTCACCCCTAATCTCCCCTGTACTGCCTGCCGCCACTCTGGCCTCTTGCTCACCCCTAATTCCCACCTTAAAGCTGACCTGTGTCCCCTTGTGGGGAGGACAGCAAGGCATGCACTCACCGCAGGGCTTTACCTTTGCCTTGGACTCTCCCAACTCTCCCCAGGCCCCCCCTCCCTTCAGGTGCCTGCTCAAATGCCAGAGGGTCAGAGAAAAAGTCCTGAGCAGCCTCGGTGGAGTAGAAGCCCCCTGAGCCTGCTTCATTACACACTGAGCATTCAGCGCCACTTGCAGTGCCACATGTCTGTTTGTTACCCATCTCTCCCAACTAGAACAGAAGTCCCGTAAGAGCAGGCAGTGTTTGGCAAACTGTTATTCTCTGCCACCCCCCATGCTTGGCACAGGGCCTGGCATGTGATGGGCACTCCGTGACAATTTGTCAAATTAATGAATGACTGCCCAGTACTATTTTAGGGTCTGAGGATATAGCAATAAGCAAGACAAACAACCCCTACTCCACCCCTTGAAACTTACTTTCTAGAGGGGAAAACAAACATTAAATAGGTTGCATAACTGTGGGGGGGGACGAAAAGGAGGAAAAAGCCCCATCCTAACCAGATCAGAGGTGGAAGGACTCCTACCCAACTACCCAAGGACCCATACCCAAACTTTCATCTAGGGTATGTTAAAGAAAAACTCTTGTCATTTCAAAGCGTCTGCAACTTCTCTGAAATAATAAGGGCAGATACCTAGAGGCAATAGTTAGTAGTGGATTTATGGGTTTTCTTTTTTAAAGGGTAGATTGAAATGCACACACACAAACAGCATGACGGGTTCCCCAGCTTGGCGTACAAACGCCACCTCTGTAGCACCCGCAATGTATCGCAGAATGCCAGGACTAGCCGCTAGGGGGCGGTGGCTTCCTATAATCGCGTCTTCTGCCTCTGGTGTCTGGGCTGAACTTCACGAGGCAACTTCATGCATCGCCTACGGGACGAAGCCTTCGCGGTACCACACCAATGGCTTAGACCAGAGGGTTTCCAGCCTCACCCACGTGCTGCATCAGACCTCCTGTTTCCCCTTAGGTCCTTAGTTTAGCCTGGGTCACCTCCCTTTGGTCACAGCGAGCTACTTCTTGAGGGCGCTTAGTGTCCCTTCCAGTCCGTAGTCTTCCATCTGGACCAATTCGATCCATCAGAAAGATTCCAATAGCACTGAACTTGAGAAGGAAAGGGGAGCGTAGTCTTGACTCCTTTCCCCCAAGGTGCTCCTTGAGCCCTCTGCAGATTTCCCCACTCCTCACCAGTGACAGGTAAGCATGCCAAGGTGAGCAGCCCCAAAGATCCCATCCTACCCTCGCACAGTGAAGTAGATGACTACGTGACTTCCATGTGCATCGGTAAGGGACAGTCCCCACACGGCATGTCTCTCTCTCAAAAATGTCAAAACCTATACACCCCTCTAGTGTCGGTTTAGGGTGGAAACGTGGGTGTAAGAAGCTTAACTTAGAGGTCTTTACCGGCAGCAGAGGGGAAGAGAATGTTCATCACCCAGCCTGGTGTCAGTAGAGCTTTGGGGCAATGGAGGGATTCAGAGGTTTCGATTTGGAGCTAAAGAAGCACAGAAAGAGAACAATGGCCCCGGAGGCCAAGGGCATACAGGGATAGCCAGGAAGTAGGCTGGGCATGGCCTGACTCGGAAGACAGCAAGCCCTGCTTTGGAATCCTCAGAGAGATCGTGGAAAGGGCTTGGTTACTATGCGGTAATGGGGCTCAAGTCATTTTATTTCAATGTTAAAGGACAACAGGGTAGAAGGTGGAAAATTTGGGGTCACAGTTCATTAAAAATGTGACAAGGACCACAGGATGCTAAGAATGATGTGAGACATAGTGAATATCTGCATTTTTGCATGTTCAGCATTCACTTCCCCTTCTTTGGGGTCACAGCATCCTTAGCTTCCTTTGGGGACCAGCCGTCCCATGTTCTGGAGCCATGTGGCTCAGCTGATCCTCCCTCCACTCCACTCCTTGTGGGGTGGCCGCAGTCAGCACAGCTGTGGGCTCAGGCATGGACACACAACCTGTTAGGCAGCACCTGGCCTTTTTCTACCCCTAGTAGGGGGAAAGTGTTCTTTCATTGGAGTTGCTGAGCATGTGGACCTGCTGGTGGCTGTCTTTGCCACCACGAGGGTAGATTTTGGCCAAGCATGAAGTCAACACAGAGTAAATGAGGCAGGACCAAGAGATGAGGAGAGATGGATTCTGACGGCATAGTTTGAACACAGGGATCCATGTCTGAAATTAGATTCAAAGGTCTTTTTCACATGCAACCAATATATTCTCATGAGTTCATTTGAGTTTGGTGTCCATTACTTGCAAATAAAGGAGTTCCAACTGGTACCCAGGGAAATCTGATGTGTGACACCCCTTGAGCCTCCAAGACCCATGAGCCACCAAGCCTTATAACAGCTCCCGAGCAATACCAGTAACCTTGATTACCGGAAGCTGCTGAGCCCTCTGTGACTGATACTGAGATGACTGCTGAACTCACCAGCACTCATCTGGTCTCAAATGACTGAAGAGCCAACCCAACCAGCATGTTTGAAAAGGAAAAGTCCAGGGTGGGGCCGACTTTTGGTGCAGCTTAATGCAGGACACCAGGATAGTTCTCTATGCTCTCCTTCCTCTGGGCTGACTTCCTTCTCAGACGTCGTCCTCTCTCCTAGTGATGTGGGACTGCTGCCAGTGGTCCCCGTGAGAGTCCTTTTCCCAGCCCTCCTGTCCCAGTTAGTGTTTGCCTTGTGCTTGGTCGGCTCTGACTGGGTCCTGAACATCCATCACT